AGCAATTTCACTTCTGGATATATACTCAAAAGAAAGGAAAATAGGGACTGGAACAGACATGTGTACACCCATGGTCGTAGCGGCGTTATTCACAATGGCTAAAACACGCAAACAACTTAAGTGTACCTCAACAGTTAAACAGATAAGCAAAATGTGGTCTATCCATACAGTGGACTTTTCTGCCTTACAAAGGAAGAGAATTCTGACACATGCTACAACATGAATGAACCCTGTGGACATATGCTAAGTGAAATAAGCGAGTCACAAAAGGAAAAATACTGTGATACCACTTGTATATGGTCCTTAGAGTAGTTAAATTCATAGAAACAGAGAGTGGAATGGTGAGTTTCAGGGACTGGGAGTTGGGGGAATGTTATGGTTTAAATGGGGACAGAACTGCAGTTTGGGAAGGTGAAAAAGTTCTGGAAATGAATGGTGGTGATAGTGAATGCGCTTAACATTACTGAGCCGGTTAAGGTGATACGTTTTATGTTATATGGCTAAAAAATAGATTAAACATTTTAAGTGTTATAAATAATGTTAATTCAGCTGGGTGTCATCCCAGGTCGGCCAACAGCTATGTGACTTTGAGCAGGTCCTTCCCTGTAGATTGAAGGGTTGTGCTGCTGATTTCTTAGGTCACTTTTTGTGCTGAAACGATTCCCTGCCCCAAACTGGTGGTTCAGTGGGACAATTTGTTGTTGACACCCCTGACAGTGGAGAGGGGTTCTGCGCTCATCCCTGAACCCATTTCTGGTTATTTTAGGTTGGAGGAAACCTGCTGCCCCTCTGGGCCTCATCTGTGATAGATAAAACCGGTGGCTGAGTCATCCCTTGGGGCCCTTCCGCCCCACACTTTGAGGCAGCAGTAACCAGGCAGGTTGTTTTTCCTAGGGCTCTTGGTTCCCCTGAAACACACTGGCTCAGCCTGTGCCCTGGGTGTCTTGGAGCAGCCTTACTGGTGACTCTTGCGGACAGCGAGGTAGAGTTTGCTTTGCTCAGTGCCCACTGAGTGTTGGGTGTGGTGGCCACAGGCTAGTTGATGCAGATGATACTGTAGGGCCCCCACTTGTCTCCTCAGACATTTGTTTTCAACTTAAAAAGTGGAGTTTGGGGCCACCCCCTTGGGTCCCCTCCCCCTCTGGGAGCTTTTCTGTCCTTTCAATAAATCCTGCTTTCCTACCTTAAAAAAAAACTGGTATTTTTAGGTTATTTTCCTAGTACTCTTCACTGATTAGTTCTCTTTGGGGGAGAGTCTGAATTATTTAGTACCAGTAGGGGGTGCTAAATCAATGGTGATTTTCTGTGTTTACACAACTTTTATTTCTCTTCATACACTAGGGGGCAGTGGACCATCAATCTGAGAAACGAATACACGTTAGTTCTTGTGAGTGAAGGGTGATTTCAGTTACGAGCATTCATTCCATGAGTTGATTTAGTTGTTTGTAGGAATTTTTTCTGCCTGCATACTTGTTAGACTTTTCTTTCTTCTCTAAATTTCCAAATATCACAGCCCAACCCATGAGTGACCTGGTGTCTTCTACCTGTGATGGGGAGCAAGTTCCAAAGCTGGCTATGGAGGAGTGGTTCCACTGGGAGGTGGCCAGAGCTGCCTTGTTCAGAGTTGCCTGTGTAGCCACTGGAGTCTTAAAAATTAAACTTTTAGGACTGGGCAGGCTGCCTCATGCTTGTAATCCCAGCACTTTGGGAGGCTGAGGTGAGAGGATTGCTTGAGCCCAGGAGCTCGAGACCAGTCTAGGCAGCGTAGCAAGACCTTGTCTCTATTTTTTAAAAAAATTTAACTTTTTTTCTTATCACTGTCAATATAAATAACAAACGGAGAGAAGCTTTCTAAAAGAAAAAAATATTTATTTAGGAGTAGGGCATTGCAGTGGGAATATGTGTGCCATAGTATGCTGTGTGCGTATTCAGGGAGGTCAAGGAAGACAAAGGTTTTTAAAGGAAACAGGTGGATTACATAATTGTTTTGAGAAAATTATCTTTGCTACAGGGATCAATAACAAGGGTGACGCTGGTATGATGTTGGACAGGCAGTTGTTAGATCTCATAGAAATATTTTGTGTGTAAGTTGCAGTGACCTTTGGGCAAGGTTCTGGTTTTTGCAGTCTTTTTTGATAGTTTTGTTACCAAGCACATGAGCATGATATGGCCTCCCTGGCTCTTTTTAGCAGAATTTTTAACACAAGTGATTCTGTTTTGATTCTGACAGTTTTTACATCACAAAGCTATGGGTTCATTTCCCACCCCTCCAATGTAGAAAATACAGAGTAGCAGCCAGGCTCAGTAATCCCAGCACTCTGGGAGGCCAAGGAGAGTGGATTGCCTGAGGCTGCGGGTTTGAGACCAGCCTGGACAACTTGGTAAGACCTCCTCTCTACAATAAACAAAAAATTAGCTAGGTGTGGTAGTGTGCACCTGTAGTTCTGCCCACTTGGAAGACTGAGGCGGAAGGTTAGCCAGAGCCCAGCAGGTTGACACTGGGGTGGCCATGAGGGTACCACTGCACTCTGGCCTGGGCAATGGAGTGTGTCTCCAACTCAAAAAAAAAAAAAAAAAAAAAAGGTAAAGGAAAGAAAAAGAAAAAAATTATAGAGTAGCAAATAATTAGTACAGAATGAGTTCATTTTGTATGTATTTTGTAACCTCCTTTGGTTTAGCAGTAGACAGTGCGAGTTTTCGTGTCATTGCTTATGTTGTAACAAGTATTTGTGCACTGCGTAGCATGCTCTGTGTTCCCTGTCATTGGGTTGGGTATCAGGTCCCCGTGTTGTTTAGCTCATGAGCATGGCCAAGCACCTTTTTGTGCATTCTTTCAGCCAGTGTTGCACATCTCCCAGGTGCCAAGCACTGTGCTAGGCAGCGAGTTTTCAGATGGGAACAGAGCAGAGGTCTCTGCTGCTCTCCTGTCCATGACAGTCCGTGGGGAGAGGGCATGTAACTGTCCATGTGTAGTTTCACTTGGCATTACGTGGTGTGAAGGAAAGGAACCAAAGGTCAGGAGAGAGGACATGGGGAATCTAAAGTAGACTTGGGCTTTAAAAAGTCTTTTACAAGAGGGGACACTTGGGTTGAGGGCTGAAGGGAGGGAAGAACATGTGCAAAGGCTGTGGGCTGAGAGCCCAGGGAACCCTCGTCAGCAGCACTGGGCACCACTAAGTGTCCGTCATTGTGCTAGACACCTCCCCAAATGTGATGCTGGTTCCAATCAAATAAGTCACCACATCTTAAAATAAAAAGCATCACAGCTGGCAGGCTCTGGTTTCTTGAACACCTGGAATCCTAAGTGAACCAATTTCAAGCATAAGGGAAGTACACGTGTTTACCTAAAGACTACGAGGCTCTTGGACCTTCTTCCCTCTCCACCAGCACAGGAACCCTGTGCACCTCGTGAAAAGCCAGATCATTGTACCATGTCATGTCAATTTGTCATTTGTCACAGAAAGCCTTTTGGCAGGAGGCCCGAGGCGTGCCCGTCATCCGGAGTAGAGGCACGATGAGGACACATCTGCATCTGATTTGGGGCCACAGGTTTACCCATCTGCTCAGGAGTGTCTTATGGGCTGATGTACAGGCAGTAGGAACCAGTGTTACCCTGGGACCAGTGGTTGGCCTCCAGTCACTGTGGAGACAGCACACAGACACATGCTGCCACAGCACATTTTCTGACTGAGACCCAGATGTGATGTCCCTCCCGCCCCGGGCATCCTCACTGTGTTCCTGGCAGTCTGTGGCCCCTGGGTGCCGGACCTCCCCTGTCAAGTAGAAGGGGCCTCTGCCTGTCGCTTTTCCCTGAGTGCGCTTCCCTGCCTACCCTCAGGCCCGCCTCCCATATCAGCTTCTTTGGCCAGTGAGTGACTGATGAAGTCTCCCTCAGGGCTTCACAAGGAATTGCCACAAGGTTTTCCACAAGGTGCACAGGGTTCCTGTGCAGGTGGTGAGGGAAGAAGGTCCAAGAGCCTCGCAGTCTTTAGATAAACACGTGTACTTCCTTTATGCTTGAAATTGGTCACTTAGGATTTCAAGTATTCAGGAAACCAGAGCTTGCCAGCTGTGATGCTTTTTATTTTAAGATGAGGTGACTTATTTGATTGGAACCAGCATCACATTTGGGGAAGTGTCTAGCGTAATGATAGGCACAAAATAGATGTTTGGCGAATTGAATTAATTCTGGTCATTTCCCAGAGGAAGAACGACAAGATGTTTTGATGGCTGGTTCGTGCGTCAGAGTTGGTCTTCAGACACCAGCTGAATGTTTAGGGGTTCTTTCGTTTCCTAAAATGCTTACACAATTCTATAAAAGTACGGGCTTGCTGAAAACCAATCCTTATATTAATAACGATTACCCTTACTATACTTTATGCTTTCCATTACACTCTTACATGTTATTTCATTTGACCTTGGTAACAGCATTTTGAGGTAGGCTGTTGTCATCCTGGTTTGTAATTGTAGAAACTGAGGCTTTGTGTGGGGCACACAGTTGGCAGAGAACTTACTTGAGGATCCTTGGATAACTCTTTTTTTTCTTTTAAAAAATTTTTTATTTGAAGATATGGGGTACAGTTTGGGGTTAGGTATACAAATGTTCATTATGCAGGTACCCTTGTTGATGAGGTGTGCCCCCCTCCCCTGGCAGTTTCCCACTACTGCCAATCCCTTTCTTATAGTATTATGATAATTGTTCAAGGCTCGCTTATGAGTGAGAACATGTGGTACTGTTCTTTGTTTCTATCATAGACCACTGAGTTTGATAGACTGTAAGTCCACCCAAGTTGCTGCAAAGTGACTCTTTTTTTTTCAATTTAAAAAATTGTGTAAAATATACCTAACATAAAATTTACCCTGGGATGACTTTTAAGTCAGGTTTCTCTTTAATTGCTGTTCCAGAATACTCCTCTCTTCTCCTCTGTGCAGTGCACTGGACAAAGCTAAACATCTCTCCCCAAAAGAATAACCTGATACATTTTTTTCTTTGTGTTTAGGGCTCAAAATTTGGGCGGGGAATTGGACTTGCTCAGACTTCTCAACGCACCTCTGCTCGGAGATCATTTGGAAGATCCAAAAGATTTAGTATCACACGCTCCCTTGATGATCTTGAGGTAATTTAATTTTAATTTTTCTTCCTTTGCCCCTCAAGTTTGAAATAAAGGAAAATCCACTTGCAGACATGTCTGACTGTCCATCCTCAGTCTCCTTCCTTCTCTCTGTCTTCAGTGGTTACCACTGTGCTCAAGGGGGAATTTCCCATGCACATTTATGTGCCATTCCTGCCCCTCAGTGTATCTGTGAATGGTCGCAGTGTTTGTGAAGTGCTCTCTTTTCTGTGCCAGACTCTGGTAAGCACTTTTATTTTGCGGAGATGGGGTTTCGCTCTGTTGCCCAGGCTGGTCTCTAACTGACCTCATGCTATTCTCCTGCCGTAGCCTCCCAAAGCACTGGGAGGTGTGACACTAGGTGTGACACTAGGTGTGACACTATTGCGCTTGGCCAGTAAACACATTTAGAAATGAATTTGTTTTAATCCCCACAGAAACTCTGTTCAGTAGAGCCTGTTGTCCCGTTTTTAAAGATATGTCTTTGCTCTACAGATACAGGTAGAGCATCATTTTGTGTGGCTCTTTTCTTTATCTGTATTCCTTTTTTTCTTTTGCAGAACTGTAAATAGATTTTACTTTTTAGAGCAGTTTTAGGTTTACAGAAAACTTGAGCAGAAAGTACAGAGAGTTCCCATATATCCCCCCAGCCCTCCTACCTACCCTTAACATGCACTGATTGTGATCATCTTGCATTATTGTGTTGCATTTGTTACAACTGTAAGCCAATATAGATACACCATCATAGGCAAAGTCCACAGCTTACCTGCGGGTTCCCACTTGGTGGTGTACCTTCTGTGGATTTGGACCAATACAGAGTAGCATCATCCACCACTGTGGTATCATATAGAAAGTGCCGCTGCCCTGGAAATCCTACATGTTCTACCTCTTCATCCCTGCGTCTTGAATCTTGGCAATTGGCAACCACTGATCTTTTTCCTGTCTCATTTTGGGTGTTTTTAAATTTCATATAAGTGCAGCTGTACTATATGTCTTATTCTGCCACTTCTAAAACATTGTGTTACGTTGCCGATAGTTACTCATGTAGTTTCAATTCAGTTGTTTTACTTGCTACATAACATTCTGTTATGAATATACCACAGTTTGGGATCCATTCTGCTACTGACAGACACTCAGTGGAAAGTGGGGAGTCATCTGCTCTCTGTGAACATTCTCATACATGTCTCCTTGAGCATATGTATGAGACATATGAGGGTGTTCCTAGCCAGAAGAGGTCTGGATGAGGGGTGTGGCCAGACGCCATCCACAGTGGCTGCTCTGACTCATGAAGAGGTGGCTGCAGGAATTGGGGGGTGGTACGTGGTGTCTGCAAATGGGAACTGGCTGCTGAATACCTTGTTTGGTCTCCAGGTAACTCGAGGGTGGGTCAGGGCTAGTGTGCTGTATTTGGCCAGGCAATAATCAGAATTGGCTGCAGTGCCATGCCCACGCTGTTGTTGAAGAGACAAAGGTTTGTGTGCTGCATGAGGCAGGTCCTGGTCTGGGGCTGAGTACCTCTGGGACAGCAGTGGTCCTTACTGGAAGGTAGGGTTGCAGCCAAGCCTGCCTTCTCAGTTTGGGGTTTTTGCCAAGTGTGGTAGGTCTACGTGCTTCTGGGGAGAAGGTCTCTGAAGAGGTCTACGCCTCCAAGAGCTGAAGAACCGTGTGTTGGTGGCTTTGTGATGATGGCTTGGGAAAATCACTCTGGTCGACTTCTGTCCCTGTGTTACTTCTCTTCACCTCAGAGGATGTCTGGAACTTTCTACCAACAAACAACCAGGGTTTTTGCCATTATCAGCTGTCAGTAATTGAGCACTGGCAGAGTGTTTTTTGTCCTTTGTCTTCAGAACAGTCCAGCTTTCTGGAGATTGCCATTGTCTCCAATTTACAGACGAGAAAACTGGATACAGGTTCAGTAGCACTTTTTAAGCCACAGCAAACTGCAGAGCATGTGATCTCTACAGAGAAAGCATGTGACATATTAAGCCTCTTACTCTTGTCAAAATGGTACATTAGACACAGGATTGAATCTTTACTAATTTTTTTTCCTGAAGATTTCAAAATGTAGAAGCTACAAATAACCAACAATTGGTTGGTAAGGCTATTTCTAAGAGAAGTCTGTGGAAAAGCTTGTCTTTCTGTACTTCTCTTTGCTACTCTTTGACAGGTATACTAGGCAGCCTCTAAGATGGCCCTGTGTTTCTGTCTCCTGGTCTTCACACTTTCCCAGTGGGGTCCCTTGGGTTCAGTTGGACCTATTGAGTGATTTCTAACCAATAGACTATGGTAAAGTGATGGGAGGTCATTTCCAGATGATGGTATAAAAAGACTGTGGCTTCCACTTGCTCCCCTTTCTCATTTCCTCTCCCTCTGGAGCCTCAATCTGAGACCAGCAGCCGGGTTGTGAGTGGCCCTGTGGAGAGGCCCATGTGGCCCACAGGGGATGTCTTTGGCAGGACTGAGGCTGACAAACTGTGGGGCTCTAGCACAGCCCCTTACTGTATAGTTGCTCTGTTTCTTCACCCTTTAGCCAAGTGGCCAGTGCCAGACCTTCTGATGACGTGACTGTTTGGTACTGCTTCTGAGAGGGACATTCTCTGGAAGATATTGCCGTGTGGGGCAGGGAGCTTCCATGTCCTGCTCACTCCCTGTAGATCCAGCCTCTTTCCTCTTTGGAAAGCCTTCCTGTCCCTCATCTTCCAGCTTGCCTTTCCTGGACCCTTGACCCACCTGTCAGGTCACTTGCCACTGCCCACGAGTCCTTGCATGTTCTTACCTTGGGCCATTTCTCTTTTCACACAATGTGGATGACCAGGATAATCCCTGGAGTCCTTGTCACTGTCTTTCAGGGCATCCACTTTAGACTGATACCACCATACTGAGCTAACCTGTCTGTGCACCAGTCTTACTCATTTTCTTCCCTTTTTAGCTGGTTATGAGGAATTTCCCCTCATGGCTCTAGGTGTGAGCTAACAGAGCTATGCTGGTGTCCTGGTGGTGAATGACATATGGATCTGGGCCACTTGCTTGAGAAGCCTGGTCCTCCTTTACTGAATGTCATCTTTTGTCTTGTGATGGAGTTGCTGCTAAGGTTGTCCCATGATGGCAAGTACTATACTCATGATGGACAGTCAGGTGTCTGGCGACTGAATGTCCAGTGTGGATGCTCCCATCCCCACCAGGGTTCTGCTACTTTCCACAGAGTGTGTAGTCTCTGCTGCCTTTGACCTGGCCCTCCCCAGATCTACTTCTTGGCTGTGAGTCTCTTATTGAGGCTTGCTGTAAGTCCTGTGGCATCTTTCCCACTGCACATGTCTCTAGTATGATTGGGCCAAGTAGGATGGCCCAGGTGGCAGAACTGCCAGCCCTTTCCGGCCTGGACCTTGCTCATTCTTCCATGACCCCTGGGAGAGGAATCAGAGCAGCATTCCCAAGTGAGGGAGGGTCTGCTTTCGAGCCTGTCATCCTAAATAACAGAGGAAAGACTCTGTAAAAGAAAACTTTTATTTGGGAATAGGCATTGCGGTGGGAATACATGTGCAAGAGTAAACTATGCATATTTAGAGAAATCAAGGAAGACAATGGTTTTTGAAAGAAAAATGAGCAGGACTACATAATTGTTTTGATGTAATTCTCCTTGGCTATTGGGTCAAGGTTGAATAGGCAGTTGCCGGTCAGATTTTTTCACAGAGGTATTTTTCATGGAAGGTTGTGGTTTTTGCAGTCTTCTGTGACAGTTTCGTTACCAGGCACACAAGCATGAGAAACCCTCCCTTCCTGACCTTTCTCAGCTCCTTTGTCAGGGCTTTGAACACAGCTGACTCCATTTTGATTCTGTCAACTTTCACATTTCCCCATGTTGATCATGGTCCAAAAGCATGTGAATTAATCATTCTGTAGTTAGGTTTTGATTTGTCCCTTGGTGTTAGGATAGACGTGTCCCAATTTGGTTTGGTCTGGTCCTGCGTCAGAGGGACGTGATTAGTGTCTAGGAATTAGTGTCAAAATCCTTTTAGCCACATTCAAGCAACAAGACAGTTTAGAGGGAGTGCTTCTCAGGCTAAGTCTATCTGGAGTCCATTATTATCTTGAATTTTGTGTGTTTCCTAAGTGTGGGCTATCATCTCTTCTTTTTTTTAGTTGGAGTCTCACTCTGTCGCCCAGACTGGAGTGCAGTAGCCGCTCCCGGCCACCACAGCCTCTACCTGCTGGGCTCCGGCGATCCTTCCGCCTCAGCCTTCCAAGTAGCCGGAATTACAGGCATGCACTACCACGCCTGGCTGATTTTTTGATTTATTGTAGAGATGAGGTCTCACTGCCCAGGTGGGTCTTGAACCCACGGGCTTTGGCAATCCACTCACCTCAGCCTCCCAAAGGCGCGGGACTACAGGCTGAGCCACCGAGCTCGGCTGGGCTATCATCTAATGTACTTTATTCTTTGGGCCAACATTATTCTGTTAGGAGCCATACTTCTACAGAAATTTAATAAGTAACAGATACAAAGTTGAAAAAGGGAAAATGCAAAGTAAAATTAATGCAATATGACAATCTCAGTTTACATAATGGTTTTGAGTCATGAACCTAGACTTGAAGGTAACCGATTGAATAATCAAATGACCATGGGAAATTAGGTGACTAGTAACACGTGGCCTGTTTACTTAGTTTGTGTGTATGGGCCTAAAATTTCCCTGGGGAATTTCTCCAGGTGTAGTATGTAGTCTTAGCAATAGCACAGACATTCCTTGTTTAACCAGTTGGTGGTGTAGAACAATTTAATCATTGAGTAGCCCATGACTAGGTTGAATTCAAGCAGACGGTGAGCACCAGTTCTGTTAAGTTCTATTAGAGATGCCACAGTCATCCACTAGGTGGACTGAAGGGTTTCTTAGGTCAGATTCTGTCAAGTTACCAGCAGAAGCTACTGATGGTGAAATTTTTGTTACATTGTTACCCTGCCAAGTGAAAAAAGTAGGCATTAAGACAAGTAAAATCTCATTATGGCACAG